TGTTTTTTTTTGGAATAATAAAAGTTCATAATGTTATATAACGACACGAGGACGAGCGGCGACCACAGCTGACCGCGGCTGACCGCGGCTGACCGCGGCTCAGGACTGTCAAAATGTCCACTGGCCTGGATGTAACGTTTGCTCAAACCGTGGACGTCTTCTGGGTCAGTGTCCACGTAGACTCTGAAGAACGGAAAGGTGGCGTAGTCTCTCATCAACACGCCCAGGGTGGAGTTGAACTCAGGCCTGACCCACTGACCAGACACCGCCCAGCCACCCAACTGCTGACAGAGAGGAGGGGGGGGGGGGTAAAGAGTGCTGAGTAAGAACCTGTTTCCTGTCCTGCTGTCAGTCAGGAGCAGCAGTGAGGTCACAGTGAAGGTCGTACTTCCTGGATGAGGCTGAGGAAAGGTTCCACTCCGGCCGTCTCTACGGAGCCGGTGTCCAAACAGGAGGAGTAGAAGGTTCTGGTGTTCTGGAGAGCTGCACGGCTGTTCCTGTCGACGGACTCTGTCAAAAACACACCGTCCAGACGCTGAGCTGACACACACACACACACACACACACACACACACAGGAGAGTGTGTTCAACCCGTGGCTCCTACCTAAGATCTGCCTGAGGTTCTGCAGCAGGGAGCCCCTCCTGCCCCCGGCCCCTCCCCCTCTCGGTGCGTCCTCCAGTGTGGACCTCCCACTCCGGTTCTGTGGATGTCCTCTGTTGTCTGCCGTCACGTTGTTAGCTCCACAGGTAAACAGGAAGTAGTCACAGGGCTGAGCGAAGGGATCGACCGCCGCGGAGAGACGGGCCGAGGCCCAATCACAGGCCGCGGAGAGACATGGGGGGGCTGGAAGAATGAAGGACAGGGGATCGGATCAAAATGACCGTCTCTGAACCGGGAGCGTCTCCACGTCTGTTGACCAAACTCACCCGTTGTCCTGTTGGTGGCGCCCCAGTCTGGACGTCTGTAGACGCAGTAAACGCTTCCCACAACGGCGGCCAATAGGAACAGAGCTAAGACCAGGAGAGGTTTCCAATACTTGGTCCAAATGAGTTTTGTCCGACGCGGGGGCTCAGTGTGAAACTCTGACAGGTAGACTGGTGCACGGTCCAGGTCCTCAGAGAGATCCTGCGGGGG